TCCGTGTATTGACCAATATCAAAATCATTACACGCAGGGTCTGTTTCTTCTTCTGAAACATCATCAAAATCCGTGTATTGACCAATATCAAAGTCCGGATATTGACCAAGATCAAATTTCGAATACTGACTAGTACTCACAATTTTTTCTGTTGGCTCATCATCATCTAACTGGTCAATACGAAAACCGGAATTTGGTGCTGAAAGTTGATTGGGATTTGGATTAGAGAAAGGTTGTGGGTTTTGAGAAAAACTTAGTTGATTACTACCCGCTACTGACCCAACAATACTACTTCTAGGTTCAACAACATACAATGTAACATCATCTTGTGAAACACTAATGTAAGCAATGAATCGTTCAACATCTTCATTGTCGGTTAACAAATAAACTTTACCATTTCTCTGATAAGATAGCCTAAATCCACTTAGGGGCTCTAAATTCAATTTATTTGAAACACATAGCATTAGAGTTTCATAAGTTAACTTTTGTAAAGATAATTTTAGTTGAAGATTCATGGGTAAAGACATATATTGTAAAACACCATGAACATTATCCCATGACCCTCCAAAACACAAATCTATCCAAACATGATCAACATTAAATGATTTCATGGTTGTAAATTAATTTACTAAACAGACGAGCTGCGAAACTAAAACCTGTTGCCGGATTGGGAAGGATGTCGTTGGATATAGGAACGGATGTCGCCGGAGAGAGTGATAGATGGAGATGGAATGAGTTGCGATTTAGGGATTTAGTTTATGATTTGCTGCTGTTTCGTAGTTATATACCCAAAATTTCAGTGTTGTGATTTACAGATTCTCGTTGCGATTTACGGATTATCGTTGCGATTTATAGATTCTCGTTGCGATTTACGGATTATCGTTGCGATTTACGGATACGCGTTGCGATATACGGATACGCATTGCGATTTACGGATACGCGTTGCGATTTACGGATACACGTTGCGATTTACGGATACGCGTTGCGATTTATGTGTTCGCGTTGCGATTTTCATATTCGCGTTGCGATTCTGGAAAATCGCAATGCGAATTTGTACTATCGCATTGCGATTTTCAAGAATCGCGTTGCGATTTTGGAAACTGATTTGCGATTCTGGGGATCGCGTTGCGATTTTTATTTCGCGTTGCGATTTTGTTGGTCATTTTGGCAAATCCAAAAAAAGTTGGTTAAAATCGTATATTATAAGGCATTTTTGGTCACTGAGGCGATTTTCTCAAAAATTAATTTTTAGTGATCAAAATAGAAGAGAAGATAGTTGAGTGATGAATAATGAAAGTTACCCATAAAAAAGATGTCACGTGTAAATTATGTTTTTAACGATGATGTGTTAAAATGAAACATAAGGTATGATTTTAAAAAAAATAAAAATTTAAATATTAAATTAAATTAAAATTAATAGTTTATGTACTAAATGTGTAATGTACCAAAATATTTCTAAAGAGATTTCAAGTTTATCTCGACACAACTAATGTGAACCACCACACTTCAGATCAGATGTATATCCTGAAATTAAAAATAGAATTTAAAATTTTAGTATATATCTTTAAAAAATTAGATATTCTAAATTCTTTATTTTTTATTCAATTTAGTATACTAAATTAAATTTAATAATTTTCTCAAAAATAATGAATATACAATTGTTCTTTTTCTTTAGTAAAGAAGAAAAAAAATCTAAAAACTAAAATCGAATTTAAACGATAATACCTTCTTTATATTATTTTTCAATAAAATCTTTATTTTATTAAATAAAATTAATAATTTTATATTATTTCAAGTCAGATCAAATCTTATCTGGGTTTGATTTCAAAAATCAAGTCGAATTTTGAATCGGTTGAAGTTATCCTAAACCAAACTGAGTTGAGTAGAGGATATAAATTTTTAAGTCGGATCGGCAAGAAACCCGACACAACTTGACCCATATCTATCCCTATGTATGAAACACCTGAATAAATATCAAATATTTTATTATTCAAACATTATCAATTTTGAATCCCAGAACGTTGAGAAATATATTAAATGCAATCTTGCTTGGGCAAAATTGGCCCAATAAGATAAATGGGTTTTTTATTTAGCTCATTAAGGTAAGTTAAAATTTATTTTGAGATCTATGGTATTTTTTACGGTGACGTGGAACTCGTCACGCCGAGGTGAGGAGTTCCAATAAAAAATATTTTTTATTTTAACTTTTTATCTCGATGTAATATATTTTAATAAAAAAATTATATTTTATTCGAACTCGTCACCTCGGCGTGACGAATTCGAATAAAAAAAATATTTTTTATTAGAACTCGTCACCTTAACATGATAAGTTCCAATAACACTATTAAAAAAATATCGTAGATCCCAAAATAAATTTTGACTTCCCTAATAGACTAAATAAAAAACCCATTATTTTTATTGGGCTAAATCAGGCTCTTGCTTGTCTCTCCAAACTTACTATACTAAATGATTGTCCCTTTTTCCCATATATATGGGGTAAGGGGGAGGTAAGATAGTAGGCTACCCCTAACACCAGGTTGAGAGCAGCTTCCGTAAGAGACCTCCGAATTATGAAATACCCTCCGTGGGACTCGATCCCACGACCTCAATGTTAAGAACCTTGTGCTCTACCAACTGAGCTGGATGGTCATTTCAAACTTACCATACTACATTTATTCAAACGAGTGGCGGATTCAATAACAACCGAGGATGGAAATTTGAATTTTCTTCGTACATAAAATTATTTTAAACCAAGGCCATGGCAAGCTTTTAATCAGCTGATTCCAAAGCAAAGCTCCTCAACCCCACAGTCTCCACCGTGAGACCCGGCCCAAACCCTAAGAACACACCCAACTCCAACTCTCGCCGGTGGTGGATTTATCGTCATCCATCGACTTCCTCCGCAACTCATCGAGAGCAAGCAACGCACTTGCAGACCCCATGTTTCCATATTCACTTGGCACATACCAACTCGCTCCAAGCTTCTCACTTGTCAACCCAAGTTTCTCTTCCATTCCTTTGAGAATGGCCGGACAACCGGTGTGGACCGTGCAGAACAATTTGTTCCGATCATCAACACCAAGTGGCTTGAACATTTCGAGCAAGCATTGCTCGATGTTGTTGGTGACCACCTCGGGCAAATCTCTATACAAGTAGTACTCCATCCCCATTTCACGTACTTTCGCTATGATGATCTCATCGGAGTTTGGGATCTATTTCTGTGTTGCCGATATGATATGAAACAAAGGTCGCCGGTTGACGGTCGTATCAGTTGGATTAAAATCTATCATTGTTGGCACATGTATAATGTATAACGTTATCATAAAGTATGACATAAAAATTAAGTGATTTATCATGTTACATGTATCATAGGTATTGTGTAAAATGTTAGGTGTCTTTTTGCCTTAAAATAAAATGTTGGAACATTTTGACCTTGAACGTTTTATTTGGAGACCCTTCTATAGATAGAAATTGTTAGCTAACATATGACTAACACTTCAAAATAAAGAATGTTTACCATAAAATGAAACATCGAGGGTTAAAATGTTCCAGAAAAAAGAATAAGAGTAAAAATAATTATTCCGTAAAATGTTAGGAGTCTTTTGCTCTAAAATAAAATATTGGGAGCCAAATGATAAAAAATGAATATAAGCCAAAATAATCATTTTGGTAAACGTTGGGATGATATTATGAATTCAGATTGTATAAAGAGATAGTAGTCCCCAAAAAATAAGTTAAATTGTGTTACTCTTATCTCAAAAGAGAGTTCTTTTATGACAAGAAAAAAATTATCTTATTAGAATATCACACCAAATAAAATATCAAATACCTAACAATTGATTCGGATACGTTTAATTAGGTTTTAGTATGATTAGATCTTAGGTTTAGTTTCATATCAATTAGATTTTAGTTCTAATATTAACCGACTTACCACCACCACCACCAGCAACGATAATAGCCGCAGCCCCATCGGAAAAAGTAGCCGATCCGACGAGTATGTCGATGTGAGTCTCGGAGGGTGCATGGAAACACACAAGACTATGAATCTCACAGCAAAAGATTAGAACTCGGGCATCCGCATTGTTTTCGGCCAAATCCTTGGCGAGACGAAGGGCAGTCCCGGCAGCAAATCAACCCTGATTGTAAACCATGAATTTCTGAACCGAGGGTTGGAGTTTTATGAGCTTGGCAAGCCGATGGTCGGCACTAGGCAAGCCAACCTCGGATGATGTACAAAATATAAGGTGGGTGATGCTTGAGACCGGCTGTCCCCGTTCTTTGATGGCCTTTAATGCAGCTTCCATTCCAAGCTTTGTATTTCTCTTACGAGAATATCTTGACGAGCGACGAATGATGGAGCTCCGTAGATGCCTATGTTTGGGTTCTTTTCAATGATGTCCTTTGTTAGGTGCTTATTCATTTTTTATCATTTGCCCCCAACATTTTATTTTAAGGCAAAAAGACACCTAACATTTTACATAATAATTACTTTGACTTTTATTCTTTTTTTTTTGGGAGCATTTTAGCGCTATCAATGTTTCATATTAGTGCAAAAACCTTTATTTGGAAGTGTTAATAGTATGTTAGCTAACAATTTCTATCTATTGAGGGGTATTTTTACCCCAAAATAAAACGTTCATATTAGTGCAAAAACCTTTATTTGGAAGTGTTAATAGTATGTTAGCTAACAATTTCTATCTATTGAGGGGTCTTTTTACCCCAAAATAAAACGTTCAAGGCCAAAATAATCCAAAAAAAGGAATAAGGATCAAAATGATCATTTTATAAGCGTTGAGGATTAATTTTGATATTATACCTAGACGGAATATTGAATTCAAACTTTTAACCTCAGGAAGACATGGATTTACTAAGTACCTGTAATGATTTATTTTAATTCAACAGATACAACCGTCAACCGATTACCTTTGCTTCAAATCATTTCGGCAGCACAAACAAAGATCGTAGACTCCGATGAGATTATCGTAGCGAAAGTATGTGAAATGGGGATGGAGTACTACTTGTCTAGAGATTTGCCCAAGCTGGTCACCAACAACATCGACCAATGCTTGCTCGAAATGTTCGAACCATTTGGTGTTGATGATTGGAACAAATTGTTCTACACGGTTCACACCGTTGCTCCGGCCATTCTCAAAGGTATGGAAGAGAAACTTGGGTTGACAAGTGAGAAGCTTGGAGCGAGTTTGTATGTGCTAAGTGAATATAGAAACATGGGGTCTGCAAGTGCGTTGTTTGCTCTCGATGCGTTGCGGAGGAAGTCGATGGATGACGGCAAATCTACCACCGGTGAAGGGCTGGAGTTGGGTGTGCTCTTAGGGTTTGGGCCAAGTCTCACGGTGGAGACGGTGGGGCTTTGGAGCTTTGCTTTGGAATAGGCTAATTAAAAAACAGGTAAACTACATCTTTAGTACCTTAATTATCACTTTTATTCCGTTTGATCATCTAACTATTTTTTCAAAGACATTGTAGACACTAAAATTTTGCCTGTTTATTTTTATTATTATTATAATTATTATTATTTTTATTATTATTATTAATAAATATTATTATTACAAAACAGGTCCCAAATATTACAAGGCCCAATTCTGACCCATTTTACAAAACTTGGATGGCCCAAAACAGTCCAGGCCCAAGCCTAACCCTAATGATACAGGGTTTGTATCATCTCATCAGCTCCCAGCCGCCATCAAATCACAGCCGTTAGATCTGGCTATGATCCAACGGTCTTGATGCTTCTAGAAGTAACTCTAGGGTTATGACAACTCTAGGGTTATGACAACTCTAGGGACCATGCGACGCCGCCTCCACGTCCAGCTGCCTTACAGACGCTGTTGCTTCCACGCCTCAAGCCTCGCCGAGCCTTCCAGAAGAGCCAGCTGCCCCACACGTCGCAGCTATTGGGGTGTGTCACCACGTGGCTCGGTGACTCACCGAAAACCACTCTATTATCCGGTCTGACGAGAGCCTTGTGGTGGCCTATAAGGCCACCACCGAATCTGCAAAGAAAAAAAAAGACAGAGAGAGGAAGTCAGAGTACAACAGCAATAGAAACCAAAAATCGAGAGAAGACAGAGCGAGAACGAGGGACTTACCACCAAGGAGAGCCCAATCGTCGCCGGAAACGTTGTATCAACCGAGGTAAAGGCTTCGATTTTCCTAGATCTACGAATATTTGAGGGGATTTAGGGAAAACAAAGGTTGTATTCGGTCTTAGGAGGTCAAAACCTATGCTCTAGTGTAATTTGGGAGTTCCGGCCACCGTAAGCGGTGGCGGTCAGTGCTGGATCCCGGCTGCCGGCCGGTGCTCTCTCTCAGTTTTAGAGAGAAGCGAGAGAGTTTAATACTCTCTCAGTTAGAGAAAGAGAAGAGAAGAATAAAATAAAGAAAAATGGCCTTAAGGCCATTCGGTTAAGGGTTTAAATACCCCTCCCCGAACGACGTCGTTTTGGGGAGGGGCCTGTTTGTAATTAGATAAGGGTAAAACCCCGTCCGCAGTCCATCTGTTTTATAAATTTATATTTTAGTCACTGAATCAAATTTTAGATCTTTTTAAATCGGTATATGAATTTTAATTCCTTTATAATTTGGTCACTGATTTAATTATAGGTAAAATAACCGAATTAGTCATTATGATTTTAATAATTATTATTTTAATCGAACAACATGTTTTAATTTGTTTCAATTTGATGTTCGAATTTTATATAATTTTATTTTAGTCCCTAAATGAATAATATGTAAAATAGCATGTTTAATCCCTATAATTTTAAATAATTAATTACAAATTAGGTATTTAATTTTAATATGTTATAATTTAGTCACTAATTTTAATATTTTCATTTATTTTAATTACAAGTTTTTTAGTATGTAGTTTTAATTTTATTCATTGTTTAGCCATATTTTAATTTTATATGTTTATTTTAATATATTTAATTATTATTATTATTATTATTTAATCATGTAACTATATATATAATAAATAATATTTATCTATTAATTTTATTTCTATTAAAATCCTATTTATAAATTTAATAAATTACTTTTAATCATTTTAATCATATTTCAATATATATTTATTAATATTAAGAAAGGGCAGTCTTAAAGCAACTGGATGTTCATTTTCTGATATTTCTAAATAAATAAATATCTCTTATATATATATATTAATAGATTTTCTTAAAATTATAGTAATAAATTTAAATAATAGGATTATCAATTAAATATATTTTTGAATTCTTAAATTTCCAATAATAGAGACAAATTATAATTAATGAGTACCAATTTTGAGCGTTATAGGGGTGTTAATCATTTCCTAAACGTAACCGACCACGAATCCCTTTTTATTCCTAAAAAGAGAATTTTTTTTGTTATACGCAGATCAATTTATCTTTTAAATTATGTTTTCTTAAAAACTATTTTAAAAGATTTTTTTAGGTATTTGACCTACCTAACCCAAAAAGGTCAATGGTGACTCCCAAAATATTTTTAAAATCAAAATCATTTATTTATTCATTTTATTTTTCCCGCCAAGTAAAAATTTCGTACCCGGGTAAAAACCGGATACCACAGACATAATATCGAAATTAGCCCATAACATTTACTAAAATGATCATTTTGGTCTCTATTCATTTTTTGGAGTATTTTGGCCCCCAACGTTTCATTTTGGGACAAAAATCTCCCTCTATAGATAGAAATTGTTAGTTAACACACGCTTAATGCTCTAAAATAAGGGGTTTGTACCTAAAATGAAACATTTGTGCCAAAATGCTCCCAAAAAAATAAAGGTCCAAGTGAGTAATCTTTAAAATGTTAGGTGTCTTTTTGCCCAAAAAAGAAACATTGAGGGCCACACTCAAGAGAAAATAATACATAGGAGCCAAAATGATTATTTTGGTAAATGTTGAGTACTAATTTTAATATTATGTCTTTTTCAATATCTTGCTTAATGTTACATTTTAGTTTCATTTGAGTCACTCTGCTAAATAATCAACGAAACTGATGATGTGCTATTTTTTTTTTAAAAAAAATCAATGATGACATGTTATTACCTTATGAAGATAGGTCGCATCATTGTTAATTTTTTAACAGATGATGACTAAAATGAAACCAAAAATTAAATTTTAGGTATGGTTTTTGAAGAAAAACAATAATTGAGTGACTAAAACAGAACAATAATGATACTTAAAGTACTAAACGTGTAGTTTACCCTTAAAAAACTTGTCATGGCCGTGGTTCCAAAATTACTATTATCAAAATATTTGCTGGTTTGAGTAAATGTAGTATGGTAAGTTTGGTGACAAGCTAGAGTGCATCTATATAATGTATTGCATATTGTGACTCATTGTCGTTGTTGTTTATGTATTCCATTGACATGCCTTGTGAAATTATTTGCTTTTCAAATTCAAAGAATTTTTTTTTAAATATGAAGGTAATCGAATATCTTAACCGAAATTTTAAATTTTTGATGTTCTTATGCAGGTTTTTATTACTTATTTTTTAAAAATTTTCATTCTATTTTCATTTTGTTCTTTAATTACTTATGAATTTGTGGTGTTATTAGTCATTTGTTTAGCAATATTATAATAAAAATTTAAAAGGTGTTCCTCGTATCTTATTTCATTCAATCAAAATTATTTAATATTTCTTTTGTCACAGTTGTAGGTGAATTTAGTTCTACGGAAAAGAGAGTTCATCTTAATCGATGAAAATATTATATTTCGAACTATGTATTTTTTTTAAATAAATTTTAAAATTCTTTCGGAGCATGTAATTATACTAGTTCTAAGAAAAAGAGAGTTCATCTTAATATTTCTTGTCTCAATATTATATTTGGTAGATTTAATCCATGAGATGTATAGGCCCACCAAATTTTGGGATGGTATGCTAAATGCGAATAAGTCCATAAATATTTGCCTAAATAATCACTTTAATATTTACTCGTCTTTAAATACCAATTAAAATTTAACTAAATTTATCAGAGCCAGGTTTCGATCCTGGAATCTGTAGGTTTGAGCCCACCACGCTTATGTTGCGCCACTCTGATTAGTTGCTTAGATATTATTGATAATTTTAATTGTATTTTATAACAATATAATATGGTCTGATTCTGAAATTTATCCATGCATGTACTAATGAAGTTGAGAAGTTGATCTTCTACTTTAATTTGCAATAATAGGATTTTGTTAATTTATTATATATTAATTGATGAACTATTAGATTATATTAATTTATTATATATATTTTGTTGGGCTGTGAACCATGCATGGTGAAAAGAATGATGAAGATGGCTTTCTGTATGTTACAGTGGAAAAGACAATGCCAAATACAAAAGAGAAGTTGTGAAGTCGGGAAGTTCTACCGTACGTCAGTTTTAATATACGGTTAAGAAAATTCACTACCGGTTTTGTTATTATTATTTTAACAAAACCGGTAAATAATTACCTAAAACATTATTATTTCTACCGATTTTGTTATTATTGGGCGTTTTACTGAACTTGGTAATATATCCGATAAAGCGCTACCTAAAACATTATTTTTTCTACCGAATATATTACCAAATCCGGTAAAGCGTCCAATAATAACAAAACCGATAGAAATAATAATGTTTCTGGTAAATTTTTACCGGTTTTGTTAAAAAAATAATAACAAAACCGATAGCACATTTCCTTCGTCGTATATTAGGTTGCCGCACGCGAAGCTTCCGGGTGAAGTCTATGAAATGAAAATCAACAAAATTTAAAGGAATCCTTCTCAAAATCTATCGGAGCCAAGTTTCGATGCTGGGACCTATGGGTTATAGGCACACCACGCTTTCATTGTGTCACTCTAATTAGGTGTCACATTCAAGTCACAAATTAGGGGTGAGCATCTGATCGAGTATAATCAAGTCAAAAAATTTTGAGTTATTCGAGTTGACGAGTCCTATTTTATAACTCAAAGTTGACTTGAAAATTTTCGAGTTGAACTTTCGAGTTTCTATTTAAATTTAATTGTAAATATTTATAATATTATGATATTATTTGATTCCAATTTGAATGATTTTTTATAATCATATACAATACATATGTATTTCTTAAATGTATTTTTATTGCCTCCAAATTATTATTTAAAATATTAATTTCAATTAACTGCAAAAACATGAAAATGTTAATATATTTGGCAACTATATCTGATTTATATAACTTATCTAAATGTTCTTTTAACCTAATGCCATATGTGGCATTTAAATTAAATTGCAAAATCTATTTTGCTGCAAAATTGGAAAGTATATCTCTATCTACCAAGTGCATAATCTTAATGCAATATTTAGTTAAAAAAATGGCCTACAAATTCAACTATATAAAGCTCAATTCATACTTTGTACATCATCAGCTCATCA